GCCTAAACAAGAACTTCTTTTAGCCCAAATAAGGTAGCCCAAAATCAATCGGGGGCGGGGGCGGTGAGCAGAAGGTGAATTCGGGGGAAAGGGCGGGGTGGAAAGGATGGAGATTTCGGGGGCGGGGGAACGGGAAAATTTTGGGGGCGGGGGCGGGGGTTGTGTGACATCCACAATTTCACGGCCAGAAAAGACCGATTTGTTTATGCTTTGTTTTTAAAATCAAAGTATTCTTTTAACGAAAACGGTTGCGGAATTTGTTCCCAAAACAAGATATGATAATAACTTATCAAAACATTTCTCAAAGAGAATGTATTTTCATTTAATAATAAAACCTCGGGATGTCATGTTTCGATACAGACATATAAGCATAAACAGAACTTACATTCAATTTCACTAATGATCTATATCTCCTTTAAATCTCTCTATGAAATATGTCTTCGTATCGATACCTGTGATACAAAGAAAACTGAGTGGGTCAAGCTTGGGAGCCTGGTGAGCATATAGGGTTTTCATCCCACAATGTTATATCATATATTTATAAATATAGAACATTCAAACTTGTACAATTTCACCATATAAATGCAACTCTTATCCCATCCCATCGATCCTCACAACGACACGATCTAAACTCTCGTATCTAAAATTTTCCTCTTTACCTGATCCCTACTCACAGATCTAAAACTTTCCTCTTCACCCGATCCATACTTACGGATATAAAACTAACCTTTTCACCATATCCATACTCAAGGATCTAAAACTACCTGATCCGTACTCACGGATCTAAAACTAACCTCCTAATCTGATCCATACTCCCGGATCAATAATTGTACCCAATCCATACTCCGGGAACAGGGAAAATTAACTATACCTTAATCTTGATCTGATCCATACTCCCAGATCAATAAATGTGCCCAATCCATACTCCCAGACTAGGGACAATTAACTTAGTCTTAATTCATACTCTCGGACTAATAACAAGTTTTATCTCTTTACCTGATCCATACTCCCTGATCTAAAACTAACATCTTGGTCTAATCCATACTCACGGATCTAAAACTCGCCTCTTGATCTCATTATCCAACTCATCCTTTTATCACACACCAACTATCTCATCTACCCATGTTCTACCCAACATATTTGTAGATATAAAATACATATACGGTTTAACTCATTTAAAAACTATATAAAACATTTATTCCACACTCATCTCAAATAAAACACAACAATATATAAACACATAGCACATATTTTATAACAAATACTTCATATTTATGTGTTAGAAGAAAGTAACGACACACTCACCCAAACATATACTTAATACATTCAAACAATACTTGTATTATACCCGTGTTTATGAAATGAACTATACACCCACACATATAAACAACTTTATATTATACACATAGCACGTATTTTATAACAAATACTTCATATTTACATGTTAGAAGAAACTAACCCACACTCACTTGATTAGAAGATGATTGGACAACACTACGGCTTGTAGAAGTAGTATTCTTCGGTAGATCTGGAAGATTTTCACAAAAACCAGGCTCCTCGCGGGCAGAGCTTCGGCTCGGGAATCGCACTTCTCGGGATCTTCGGGGCTTCGAGACTTGCTTCGGGTCTCGGGAATGATACCGAAGCTTCAGGATATTTCTTGCACGAACACGATGCAAAAACGCGAGAGAAATGGAAAAAATGAGCAAAGAAACTCGGCAGCCTCGAATTCCTTTTATAGGAGCTGGAACCTTCGATTACGCTGGGCGTAACCTGGATAAGCCCGGTGACTCCCCCCTTTGGATAATATCTGAATTTTTATTTAAATTAAATACTTTAATTATTTAATAAACTTCAAAATTTTATATCTTCCTCATACGAGCTCCGTTTTCGACGTTCTTTATATCCCCACGTAGGTGAGACTACGATCTACAACTTTCGTTTAGACTCCTTCGACTAATTTTGAATTTATTTTTATTATATTATTTTAGTAGGTCGGGACAGGAAGACTCCGTTATAAATTCATAACTTCTTCAACCGACGTCCGCTTTCGGCAATTTTTTTTATCGTTTCACTACAATTGACGAGATCTTCGATTCTCGTTTAGATTTTTTCGACTAAAAACCGCTCGATCTCAAATCGAGTATTCGGGCTGCATACCGTTAAGTCGAAACTTAGAAAAATCATAACTTCCTCATACGAAGCCAGATTTGGATGTTCTTTTTATGCACGCTCATGGTTTAACGAAATCTACGACTTTCGTTTAGATTGCTAAGGCTAAATATCACTTTAACGTAAATTCACTTTTTACATGATTCAGCGTCGTGTCGGTTCTGTCACGAAACTTCGACAGGTTGTAACTTCTTCGTTATAACTCGGATTTCGGCGTTCTTTATATGCACGGAAACCTTGTAACATATATTATAACTTAGTTAAGATTATTCATTCTAAATAATCTTTCATCAAAAATTCATTTTTGATGCCTATCGTCTCTAAATTGACTAGTCTGGATCTACGAGCGTTACAGGATGCAATCCCCGTCCTGTTTGCCCCCGTTGACATCCCTATCAACACTGCCATCAACAATCCAAAAAAAATTCATGGACCACCAACATTATCTTTCGATTTTTCAAGAACTTCCTGCAAATTTTTATCATACTTCCACCGTTACCCATTGTAAGTAATAATGCCAAAAATAACAATGTACTTTTGAAATGTTTTCTTATTCATTCATTATACTTTGAAATTTCGACACCTTTAGCAAACACCTTGATTAAATTTTTATCCATAGATTGTTGTAAGAACTTTTTGGAAATGGCCGACTTGGTTGGTATTGACGACAAGATGTGCAACTTTTCTAAAAAAGTATGCACACGAGTGGCGATAACAACAGCTTCAATTTCACTTGGTCTCTTATTGTTGAGCATTTGACCAAACACCTTGTATGCGTAAATCAGCTTCAAGAACATGATTCCATATGGTGTCCTCAGTCAAATTATTAACATTAAGAATGAATATTCCAATTTCAAGAACAGATAAAATAAATTAATGTTGATGGCGAGTTATTTGAAGAAAGATGTAACAACTCGATTTCTTCCAACAAATAACCAAAAAAATTGATTGAAAAAAAAAACTCACAGACAAATTAAATAAGAAATTGTATTTTTCCTTTGGCAATACATTACTAACAGTAGAAAACGAAACCAAAGAGAATACATGACATTAACATGTCTTCTAAGAAATTGTAGCAAATTGAAGAGAATGATAGAGTTTTAATTGAAAACACGACGAATAAAAAAGCAATTTCAGAAAGAGAAGATTGTTATGATTAAACAAAAGAAGATAATGAATGGGGAAACATACCAAATTAACACCAATATAGCTAATTATCATGAGAATCCTATAATTTGGTAGCTGATTTCAAGGACTCTTGTTAGCAAAGTAGTTGAATTGTAGAGCTCGAAATAAATGGGCATGAGGTATATAATTGATAAAGGGCATTTAAGAAAATTCACATTGAAAAATTGAGCGGAATATTAAGCTTGGGAGGGGGGCGACCAAATGACACGTGGCATTTGGGTTATGTTATATATATATATATATATATATATATATATATATATATATATATATATATATATATATATATATATATATATATATCCCTATTTAATAAATAAATAAGGTTAATCTCATTCCATCATGTATCAAGCTATTAAATCAATAATATGCCACATGTCATTATTTTGGTTTTCCAATTTAAATTTTATTTTACAACTCATATTCATAAATACTCATAAATTCTTATATGGTAACAAAATCCTTAATCTAATAAATAAGAGCAATTTTGCCAAGTGGCATTCTATTAGCCCCTCCCAATAGATTTATCCCGCCAAAAACATCTAAGTGAATTTCCGATATTACCCTCTTCTTCCTTTCTGCCCAAGCCCTACTATTTAGTTTCCTCCTCTCCACGCTCAAATCAAATTCAAAGTTCAAATTGAAATCCCTGTAATCAACAATAAATCATTCGCAAAATCAATTTATTACTTCCTTTTTTTTATCTCACTATTTCTATCTGTAACAAAGAGGATTCGAATCAGTTTTGCTTATGCAATTTTACATGGAATGTGATTAGGTTTTCAAAAATCTCTCTCTTTCAACAAAACTTTTCGTCGGTCATCTTCACCACCACCATCTCCCCTCCATCATTCTTTTAGTGGGGTTTCTTATTTTACCTCTCTCGCTCAAGAATTCTCCTTCGGAATGAGGCAAGAGTTTGATCGTTCGTTGTTAGTAAGTTTTGATTTCTAGGGTTCTTCCCTTATACTTATCGTCGGATCCATCTCATCAAGCTTCCATTGATCAAGTAACTTCCTGTAAAATTTAAATTCATCTTTTTCTTGAATTGCATGTAGTCTATTTGTTCCTTATTAAGTTCAAAAGAAATCGATTAATCTGGTGTGGTTTTCGTGTTAGAAATGTTGCGAATCAAGGGGTTAATATCGATGCTTGCAAAACCCAAAATTTCTTATTAGGATTTTTAACCTTTTCGTTAATCAGTTAATGCATGTTCTTCTAGATCGGAATAAAAACAAACGAAAACTAAATTATTCAATTTTGTTGCTTGTGTGAAATCCATCGCATCTAACTTACACAATGTTACTTTTATATATGTCTCTGAAGCTAATCTGATTATATATATGTGTGTGTGTGTGTGTGTGTGTCTTTGAAGCTAATCTGATTATAGGACATGCATATGCATAATAAAGTTACTGGTAGTTTCAATCGATCAATTGCATGATTTTTGTTTCTTTCATACTAATTAGTAATCCCACTAACTTAACAGAATGCTTATCTAACTATGTTCAGTTGAAATGTCAGCATGCCTTTAGCACAATAAGTTAATGAATTCTGATACATTTCACCTTTGTTGTTATTAATTATGACTTTTGTGGTGGCAGATTCAATTTTGTGTAGAGAATCTCATCATTCTTGCAATGGCTGGAACAACTCGCCGATCAAAAGTCAAGGTTTTGACTTTTGACTGGATCTATACTCTATATCAGCTACAACTAATTTCTGTAAACCAAAGTGATCGTAATGATTATTTTGATTTGATGTCAGGATATGAGTGTAGAGGTTGTAGACATCAACCCTTATAGCAGGCTCATGGCACTGCAGCGGATGGGTATTGTGGACAATTACGAAAGAATATGGGATTTTTCAGTTGCCATAGCTGTTTGTACTGACTCCATCTTTTCAATTAATCATTCTTTAGACTAAACTACCCTTCCATTAGAATCTTAATATTTCATACTTCATTTGGTTACATATTTCAATATTGTTCTTTGTATAGGGTATTGGTGGGGTAGGGAGTGTTGTTGTTGAAATGCTTACAAGATATTGTATAGGTCGTCTTTTGTTGCATGATTATGAAACTGTGGAGTTAGCCAACATGAATATGTTACTTTTCCTCCCTGAATAGGTGTGGATGTGATTATAATAATTTATCATAACATTGTTAGGGTTGTAAAGTACTATTGTATATAAGTTGTAACATGTATATTTTTCAGATTACTAAGACTGATGCTGCTGTCCAAACTTTATTAGAAATAAATCTGGATGTTGTTCTTGAGGTAATATTTGAACAAAACTAATAAGATCATATATATATTTTTTGTAAGTTGTGACTTACTTTCACTGTCTAATTTGTTTAATATTGTTAGAGTTTTTCTATTCCTTTCAATTATTCTCTTAAAATAAGCAAGAATTCATCAAGAATTATTATAATTAAGAATGCATAAAATCAGGGACAAATGTAAATATATTTGATGTTGCATCGCAGGAAATCAATAACAAATCATATTCAAAATTGAAGGCGGTACGCAGTGGATTAATACCGTTTTCTTCCTTTCTCTTTGTGGTTTCTACAAAAAAGCAATTTAATTGATTTCTATGTTGGTCTTTTGGTATTATATTGTATTGATGAAAACTTTTTGTTGAGTAGAACCCAGAAGGATGCCAAGAAGAGATCCCATGGTAATGAAAATTATGATCCAAGAACTCTATACTTGCCTCTTGACTTTTTAGAGAGTTTATTAGGTGGTCAGGTAATTGGTCCTTTTTGGTAACAAGTGATTAAATTGTATTACAATCTGTAAGTAATTGAAACGGTATGTTTTTGTTAAATATAGAGACAATGGTGGAAGTTCAAGTCGCAACATATGGATAAGGTTCTATTTTTTAAGGTAAGTCATCTATCTAATATGGTCATAAGATCTGCAATTATCAAATATTTTTCTATAGAATGCGTTTTTCTTAGTTCTAACTCCGTGTTACTAATCAGATGGGAAAATTTTACGAGTCACTCAAAATAATTGCACATGTTGGAGCAAAAGAATGTGAATAGTCTCGAGATGGTTTTGGTGTTTTTGAAGGATAAGGGTATTTTGGTCATAAAGTAAAAATACATGAAAAAAGAATTCAATATTCATGATATTTCTCAAATTGGGGATTTATTTGAATAAAGTGATATTAAAACTTGAATTTTTGATAGTCAATGGCCAAAAGATAGAAGAATTTGGTTTGAAATGGTAAGCGTAATAGCATTATACTTTATATTATGATTTTTAGAAGTGGAAATTTTATTTTTAAGTGACATAATTTTGTATGTATTCAAACTAGAATTATTTAGGAATATTTTTTTTTGAAATTCAAGTTAGCTTTGACGCTTTTAGGACGAAAAGGGGCATTTGGCTCTCCTAGTACCTCATGTTCAAAAATCAAAATTGATTATAATGATTTTATATATCTTTGGTATTTTCTGTATGTTTGAACCTAAATAGTCATTTTTTTAGTTTTTTTTAGTAAAGTTTTCTTTTGATCTCAGTTTCAACAAAACTTTTCTCTTGATCTCAGTTTCAGTACAATTTTAATTAGAAATCATAGATGAAAGTTGATAATTTTTTTTAAGAATAAATATGATTGAAAAATAAAATTTATTTTACCTGTGGTTTTCACGGGTTTTACACCTAGTATATCAAAATATGTCAATATTACCCAAGGCAATTATTCTCCAATTAAAGGATATTTACCGTATTCGGTTACACTTATTATGTTTATATTTTTCTTTTATAATTCTTTATTTTTTTAATAATATATGTTTATTTTAACAATTTAATTTTCTGATTTATATTACTAATTTTAATTTTGTAACTGTGATTCCCATTGGTTAAAAACTAGTATATATATATATATATATATATATATATATATATATATATATATATATATATATATATATATATATATATATATTAATGGGTTTTCTAGATAAAAGGTTGATAACAATAACATGATGGTTTTTGACTTTTTATGTAAATTGCATTAAATAAAGTTATTCATCAAAAGGTCCTTCCATGAAATATAGATGCAACAATTCAACATGATGTACAACTTTTAATGCATAAAATATAAGTAGCGTCCGAAAAAATAAACAGACTACAAGAGATAGATAAAAGCAACCCCTCACAATGAGCTCATAAGATAAGAACACTTCTTGATTTCAATATTGTCTATATCTAGTTTCTCTTGTGGAAAAGTGCACATTCCAACCTTGTCTGGCCCTTGGTCAGGCAACAAGTCACAAGGCTTAGGAACCACACCACTAGTCACCCCTTCAATATCACTACACGTCCATGGCACTTTTTTGGCCTTCACACGCATACCAATAGTCGCATTCGATATACAAATCCCCTTAAAAGTATCCCCCGAGATCCCCTCCAATCGAGCCGCCATTGTCACGTTTTCCGCGACCACGTCCATGTAATTTATGTTCTGGATGATTGGAATAGCATTTGGGTCCCAGTGATCATCAGCATGAGACCCATAGTTTCCGGTGATCCAGAAGACCCATTTCATGGTATGCAGGGTCATACCTTTTACATAAATGTCCTTTACGAATCCACCACGGCCGACCCCAGTCTTGATTCGGACTGCTGATTCGGTGTTGATGGCGACGATGTCCTCCGCCCTCACATCCTGAATCCCACCCGACATTTCACTTCCCAATGCAATGGCGGCACTGTAAGGCGAGATACACGTGAGCCGTCTGATGATCAAGTGATCTGTCGGCATGGCAAATGATATCCCGTACTCATCCCAACCACTCTTAACCGCCACACAATCGTCTCCGGAGACAATATATGTGTCTTCTATTCTCGTGTTTGAGCAAGAATCTAATAATACACATTTAAATTCATTATAATTACTGAAAATTCGATCAACCCACGAAATTAACAGAGGTAATTAATTAAATTAAGACTAACCCGGGTTAATTCCATCGGTGTTGGGAGACTGAACTGGAGCCAAAATTGTAATCCCTTGTATAAGAATGTTGCTGCAATACAACAAACACATATAATTAAGCTTTAATTATTTTGCAATGTAGGGGTCTAAAATATACATTGACAATTATAATATTTCATATTTAGCCCAATACTATTGTTAACTGTCACACAACTCCCTCCCTTTAATGTTCAAGAAGACTTGCTAAAGTAAAAGAAAGCGCATTTTAGGAAATCCCACTATAAAATAATGATTACCTGCTATAAACGGGATGGACATTCCATGATGGAGAATTTAAAAACGTAAGATTGGAAATCTGAATGGTATCTGAATACATGATCTCAAGTAGATAGGGCCGAGTGTACTTCAATTTTTTCCCATGGAATTTTTGCCACCAAAGTAAACCTTGGCCGTCGATCGTGCCATTATCACCTATCCAACGTTCATCATTAAATCTCAAGGCATTTTTCATAATAACTTATAAAGGTAAGCTTGATGTCTAATTTGGTCATTTTAGCTACCTGTGATAACGACATCAGTGAGATTTGTCCCAAATATGAGGCTAATGTACCTTCCCCCGGCTGCATCTCTTCCATGTCCGTAGGATGGCAGAGGATCAATCACTGGCCATCCATTTATATCCTGTTTATACATAACGTACAAGTAACTAAGCCAAGGGTACAAGTTGGAAAAAAAAATCACTTACTTAGTAGTTAGCAGTTACATTCTCGTTTCAAACCGACCATTCTTCTTGTAAAAGTATGAAAAACAGGAAACTTTATAAGATAAAATACCTAAAATACCCTCCTAATAAGTAGAAAACTCACTATCATCACAGATTCACAACTTTAAACTTCAATTATATACTTCAAATAAGGCCAAATATATATCACATGATCATAACAAGCCAAAAGTATTTTATTGGAGTTTGTAATTTAAGGGGATAAATTGTCACGTGACTAGATTGGACAAAACTTTATCTGTATTGATAAAAACTGTATGACTGTATTAAATTTGAGCATCTGAAAATTAAGGTTACTTTAATAATATCTACTTGTATATTCATAAGTTGATCACCATTTAATTGCAAAATACATGTTATATGTGTAATATTTTTACTGCTCTTTATTCTATTAATTATCCTGACGATATTTACAATTTCTACCAATACATATTTTGTATTCTTACTTTGGCTGTAAATGTCAAACAAGCATATTTTTAATTCAAATTTTACGAAATAAATAGTAAATAAACTCTCATATGTAAAATTGAAAATTTTGTGTTTGACATTAAAAAGGTGAAATACCTGTGAAGCAAGAAGGGTGGCATCCTTGTGAAGAAAGAGAGTAAAATGGCTTGTAAGATTGAAGCTGCCGGTCAACCATTGACCAGCCGGGACATAGAGCTGAGCCCCACCGTCTGAGCCGTATTGGCTCAATGAATTCACTGCTTCCTGAAAGGCCCTTGTATTTAGCGTTTTTCCATCTCCAACCCCTCCAAATTCTACAATTGATGCACTGTGCCCCCTGCAGCTTATCGCTGTGTACTCTAATGACCCTTCTATTTTTCTTACTTTTCTGCCCTCAACTCCTCCCATACTTGCCACCACCATCACCACCACAAATAACAATATCATCTCTCTCATCTGTAAAAGAAAAGAGATGTGAATAAATAGTGTAATAGCTCAAATAAAAAGGTTATTACCTTACTTATTATGGGCAATTAAGAATGGGATTTCACATTCATATAGCAAAGAAACGTAATTATGATTATGTTATGGGTCATGTTTATTTTAAAACAATAATGTTATATTAGTAACACGTACATTAACGAGCTTAAACACACTATGTTGAAAATCTTTCATTTTTGTTGCTACAATAGTGAGAATGAATTATGCATCTATAGTTGTATATTTACAATGAAATTTCATCTTCTATCGAAAACCAGTTTATGGTTTTATGTGCATAATTAATAGAAATAAGTGGCACTTACTTGAAGATGTAGATGGCTTCTTGTTTTGTGGCAACACTCCATAGTTAGCTTTTGAAGAATGTAATGCGAGATGTGTTTGGTGGGGTGTTGGAAAAGCATGAAGTCTTTCTGTGAGTATTTATAGGACAAAAAACCCAATATTATTGG